TGTACTGAATTATAAAGAATTACACTGGGAATGACTGGGTTGTACTGGGTTATACTGGGATATGGACTCAGTTATACTGGGAGAGACTGGGTTACACGGGATCATACTGGGAATGACTGGGCTATACTGGGAGAGACTGGGTTATACTGGGAGCAAACTGGGTTACACTGGGAACGACTGAGTTATACTGGTTTATACTGGGATATGGGCTCTAGACTGGGGGAGACTGGGTTATACAGGATCATACTGGGAATGACTGGGCTGTACTGGGTGGGACTGGCTTATACTGGTTTATACTGGGGAGGACTGGGTCATACTGGTTTATACTGGGAAGGATTGGTCTACCCTAGGCTGTACTGGTTTATCCTGCATTATACTGGGTTATACTGGGAATGACTGGCCTATCCTGACCTATACTGGTTTATACTGGGAGTGACTGGTTTATCTTGGCTTATACTGGTTTATACTGGGAGTGACTGGTTTATCTTGGCCTATACTGGTTTATACTGGGAGGCGCTGGAGCAGAGGAGCCTCACCTCGCCCGTCCCCCCCTTTCACCCCATTTTTTAACACCCCAAAATTTCCCAAATTCCCCAAATTCCCGGGGCCCTTTGACTTCAGCTTCCTCTGCTTTAATCCCATTTTTATCCCATTTTTGTCCCTTTTTATCTCATTTTTATCCCAATTTATTCCCATTTTTATTCCTTTTTATCTCATTTTTATCTGGCTTTATTCCCATTTTTATCCCATTTTTATCCCACTTTTATTCTGCTTTTTTTCTGATTTTTATCTCATTTTTATCCCAACTCTTGTATTGTTTGTATGTCTCTTTAATTCCATTTCAATCCCGCTTTTTATCCCATCCTAATCCCATTTTTATCCTATTTTATTCCATCTTTATCCTGACTTTTATATCATTTTTAATCCCACTTATTTTATCCCACTTTAATCCCATTTTAATCACATTTTAATCCCACTTTAATTCCCCTTTTATCCCAATTTTTATTCCACTTTTATCTGACTTTAATCCCATTTTAATCCCACTTTTATCCCATTTTTATTCCATTTTAGGCCCAAATTTTAGTTCCATTTTAATTCTACTTTATTCAACTTTTATCCCACTTTTACCTCATTTTAATCCCATTTTCATCCCATTTTTATCCCACTTTTATCTTAATCTTGTTTTTTGTCCCACTTTTATCCCGTTTTTCTTAATTTCTTTCCATTTTTTTTCCCATTTTTAGGTGAATTCCCAGAGCAGCTCCACCAAAACCTTCCCTAAATCCCATTTTATCCCCCAAAATCCCATTTTATTCCCATTTTACCACCTAAAATCCCATTTTTTCCCCATTTCACCCCCAAAACCTTTCCCAAATCCCATTTCTTTCCCATTTCCAGGTGAACTCATGGAGCAGCTCAACCCGAACCCTCCCTAAATCTCATTTTATTCACATTTTACCCCCCAAAAATCCCATTTTATTCACATTTTACCCCCTAAAAATCCCATTTTATTCACATTTTACCCCCCAAAAATCCCAATTTTCCCATTTGCAGGTGAACTCATGGAGCGACTCCATCGACACCCTCTAAATCCCATCTTAATCTCATTTTACCCCCCAAAATCCCATTTTATTGCCATTTTACCCCATAAAATCCCATTTTTTTTCCATTTTAACTGTGAAAAGTCCCATTTTTCCCATTTTTTCCCATTTTCACCCCATTTTGTTGCCCTTCCAGGTGAACTCGTGGAGCAACTCCACCCAAACCCTCCCTTAATCCCATTTTACCCCCTAAAATCCCATTTTTTTTTCCATTTTACCCCCCCCAAAAATCTCATTTTTTCCCCTTTTATTCCCATTTTCACCCCATTTTTCCCATTTTCACCCCATTTCCCCCATCCCAGGTGAACTTGTGGAGCGGCTCCACCCAAACCCTCCCTAAATCCCATTTTTTTCCATTTTACCCCCAAAAATCCCATTTTTTCCCATTTTCACCCCATTTTTTCCCATTTTCACCCCGTTTCACCCCATTTCCCCCCCATGACAGGTGAACTTGCGGAGCGGCTCCATTGACAGCCCCTCTAAATCCCATTTTATTCCTATTTTACCCCCAAAAATCCCATTTTTTTCCCATTTTTTCCCATTTTTTCCCATTTTTTCCATTCCCAGGTGAACTCGTGGAGCGGCTCCATCTCAACCCTCCCTAAATCCCATTTTTTCCTCATTTTACCTCCAGAAGTCCCTTTTTTTTTCCATTTTAACCCCAAAAAACCCATTTTTTCCCATTTTCACCCCATTTTCCCCATTTCCAGGTGAACTCGTGGAGCGGCTCCATCAACACCCCCTCTAAATTCCATTTTATTCCCATTTTACTCCCTAAAATCCCATTTTTTTTCCATTTTACCCCCCAAATATCCCATTTTTCCCCATTTTTTCCCCATTTTTCCCCATTTTTCCCATTTTCCCCATCCCAGGTGAACTCGTGGAGCGGCTCCATCTCAACCCTCCCTAAATCCCATTTTTTTCTCATTTTACCTCCAGAAGTCCCTTTTTATTCCCATTTTACCCCCTAAAATCCCGTTTTTTTTCCATTTTACCCCCCAAAAATACCATTTTTTTCCCATTTTTCCCATTTTTCCCCATCCCAGGTGAATTCGTGGAGCGGCTCCATGTCAACCCTCCCTAAATCCCATTTTTTTCTCATTTTACCTCCAGAAGTCCCTTTTTTTTTCCATTTTAACCCCAAAAATCCTATTTTTTCCCCATTTTTTCCCCATTTTTCCCATTTTCCCCATTTTTCCCACCCCAGGTGAACTCGTGGAGCGGCTCCATCAACACCCCCTCTAAATCCCATTTTATTCCCATTTTACTCCCTAAAATCCCATTTTATTCCCATTTTACCCCCCAAAAATCCCATTTTTCCCCATTTTTCCCATTTTCCCCATCCCAGGTGAACTCGTGGAGCGGCTCCATCTCAACCCTCCCTAAATCCCATTTTTTCCTCATTTTACCTCCAGAAGTCCCATTTTATTCCCATTTTACCCCCTAAAATCCCATTTTTTTTCCATTTTACCCCCCAAAAATCCCATTTTTCCCCATTTTTTCCCATTTTTCCCACCCCAGGTGAACTCGTGGAGCGGCTCCATCGAGGTCGGCGTCACCGCCCTGGACCCGGCGGCGCTGGAGTTCCCCAGCAGCGCCATGNTTGCGGAGCGGCTCCATTGACAGCCCCTCTAAATCCCATTTTATTCCTATTTTACCCCCAAAAATCCCATTTTTTTCCCATTTTTTCCCATTTTTCCCATTTTTGCCATTTTTGCCATTCCCAGGTGAACTCGTGGAGCGGCTCCATCTCAACCCTCCCTAAATCCCATTTTTTCCTCATTTTACCTCCAGAAGTCCCTTTTTTTTTTCCATTTTAACCCCAAAAATCCAATTTTTTTTCCATTTTACCCCCCAAAAATCCCATTTTTCCCCGTTTTTTCCCATTTTTCCCGTTTTCCCCACCCCAGGTGAACTCGTGGAGCGGCTCCATCAACACCCCCTCTAAATCCCATTTTTTTTCCATTTTACCCCCCAAAAATCCCATTTTTTTCCTATTTTCACCCCGTTTTTTCCCATTTTCTCCCCATTTTCCCCATCCCAGGTGAACTCGTGGAGCGGCTCCATCTCAACCCTCCCTAAATCCCATTTTTTTCTCATTTCACCTCCAGAAGTCTCTTTTTTTTCCATTTTAACCCCAAAAATCCCTTTTTTTCCCATTTTTCCCCATATTTCCCAGTTCCCCACCCCAGGTGAACTCGTGGAGCGGCTCCATCAACACCCCCTCTAAATCCCAGTTTATTCCCATTTTACCCCCTAAAATCCCATTTTTTTCTCATTTTACCCCCCAAAAATCCCATTTTCCCCCTCCCAGGTGAACTCATGGAGCGGCTCCATCGAGGTGGGCGTGACCGCCCTGGACCCGGCGGCGCTGGAGTTCCCCAGCAGCGCCACGGGCACCCCAAACCCCGTTTTTTACCCATTTTTCCCCATTTTCACCCCATTTTTTCCCATTTTTCCCATTTTCCCCTCCCAGGTGAACTCGTGGAGCGGCTCCATCGAGGTCGGTGTCACGGCGCTGGACCCGGCGGCGCTGGAGTTCCCCAGCAGCGCCACGGGGACCCCAAACCCCGTTTTTTATCCATTTTTCCCCATTTTTTCCCATTTTCCCCACCCCAGGTGAACTCGTGGAGCGGCTCCATCGAGGTGGGCGTCACGGCGCTGGACCCGGCGGCGCTGGAGTTCCCCAGCAGCGCCACGGGCACCCCAAACCCCATTTTTTCCCATTTTTCCCCATTTTCCCCCATTTTTTCCTCATTTTTTCCCATTTTTTTCCCATTTTTTCCCCATTTTTCCCCATTTTTCCCCATNACTCGTGGAGTGGCTCCATTGACACCCCCTCTTAATCCCATTTTATTCCCATTTTACCCCCAAAAATCCCGTTTTTCCCCATTTTTTCCCATTTTTCCCATTTTCCCACCCCAGGTGAACTCGTGGAGCGGCTCCATCGAGGTCGGCGTCACGACGCTGGACCCGGCGGCGCTGGAGTTCCCCAGCAGCACCATGGGGACCCCAAACCCCGTTTTTTACCCATTTTTCCCCATTTTTCCCATTTTTCCCCATCCCAGGTGAACTCGTGGAGTGGCTCCATCTCAACCCTCCCTAAATCCCATTTTTTCCTCATTTTACCTCCAGAAGTCCCTTTTTATTCCCATTTTACTCCCTAAAATCCCATTTTATTCCCATTTTACCCCCCAAAAATCCCATTTTTTCCCATTTTCCCATTTTCCCCTCCCAGGTGAACTCGTGGAGCGGCTCCATCGAGGTCGGTGTCACCGCCCTGGACCCGGCGGCGCTGGAGTTCCCCAGCAGCGCCTCGGGGACCCCAAACCCCCTTTTTTACCCATTTTTTACCCATTTTTTACCCATTTTTCCCCATTTTTCCCCATTTTTCCCCATTTTTTCCCATTTTTTCCCCATTTTTTCCCCATTTTTCCCCATTTTTCCCCATTCTCACCCCATTTTTTCCCATTTTCCCCATCCCAGGTGAACTCATGGAGTGACTCCATCAACACCCCCTCTAAATCCCATTTTATTCCCATTTTACCCCCTAAAATCCCATTTTTTTTCCATTTTACCCCCCAAATATCCCATTTTTTCCCCATTTTTTCCCATTTTTTCCCATTTTTTCCCATTTTCACCCCATTTTCCCCATGCCAGGTGAACTCATGGAGCGGCTCCATCGAGGTCGGTGTCACCGCCCTGGACCCGGCGGCGCTGGAGTTCCCCAGCAGCGCCACGGGGACCCCAAACCCCGTTTTTTACCCATTTTTTCCCCATTTTCACCCCATTTTTCCCATTTTTCCCCATTCCCAGGTGAACTCGTGGAGCGGCTCCATCGAGGTCGGCGTCACGGCGCTGGACCCGGCGGCGCTGGAGTT